GACTTCACGTAATGTATCCGCTTCTCCATACAAAGATGTGCATGCTCTTCCTTATACAAACCTCAAATCGATTAAAGTCTCAAGTTGAAATCGAATCTGATCCCAACTGGCTCACTCGGTCATTTTTATAGAATGATTGATGACGCCACACGAAAAGGCAAGTTCAACTCTTTTCTGTAGATGCATGTAACGGGCCGAACTCGATTATTTCGCTCTAATTGAATGAGCATTTGAATTATGAATTCATACGCGAGCTGGACGTATCTGGTGCAGAATTTATCGACCTCATGTTACCGGCCCAGACAAATGGATTAGGACGACATACCAAACATGAAGTTTTCAATTTAGCGGGAGTATTGTGTTACACTAGTGGGAGGATCACCGGTGAAAACTCCGGAGTAATGTCGGGTGATAAATCACGGGCTGTTTTCCGAGATTGGAGGGGGGAGTCCAGGCGAGCCCTACGGGGTTGCACTCATGGGGGCCCGGAGGGCTTTTGCTGGTAGTGACCTCAGCGGAGCTGTGTCGGTGGTAGTGCGCCGATGATCAGGGGTGAGGTGCCTGTGGTTGTAGCGGGATGAACCCCTGACCAAAATGTCATGAGCAGTTTTATATTTGAAAAAAAAAAATAAACAGCATACTTTAGATAACCATATTTCTGGACTGCATAATATTCAATTGTAAACCATTGGCCAAAGTTTCAGACGTTTTCCTTTAAATATTGCTCACAAGCTTGTTAATTGGGGAGGTAGGCCTAATTGTTAAAAACTTGGCAAATGTTGGCCAATGCCATTTTCCCCAATAATTGGTATAAATTCCTTCAATTGTCCTATAATTGTCTTAATTGCAACGGTGACAACTCTCCCTTAAATGTAGTCAGTTGATATTTGACCAATGTTTGGTAAGTTAAGCAACATTCGCCAAATTTCAGGATATTGCAAATGTATACAACTGAAATATTATTCCTCAATATTGGCCTATTACCATCGGCATTCCCCTGTTTTATTCAGTCATCAGATTGGAGAAGCACCTTGTGTCTAGCACTTGATGTCCGTCTTAAATAGTGAACGATTTTCACCTCGGGATAATCCCACCCGATGACCGCTAATACTGCGACGACAGGCCGTTGTGTCTGCAAAGATCTGACCGTGCCCATTACTCCCCCGCACGGCACCATGGCACTATTACATGTTGAGCTGCTAAACATACAATATATACTGCTTAGCCATACCATGAGCTTAGCAGATATAGAACAAGAGACATTCAGCTAGACCTAACATGATATGTAATTGGTAACCTCCTTAATAACATTCCGAGCTTAGCAAGAGTTAGGTGGTAGCCAGTTACCACTTGATAAGCAGTATACATAACACAGCTTTTTGGCTGGTTAGTGGTATAATCTCAATTTTCTAAGCAATAATTTTCTGTGCTTGGCACATTTCTGTGCCTCTTACAGCTCCTCAAAATTAGCTTCAGGAAGACACCCGGTGAAGACGCTATTAACTCGTCACCTTTGCCCATCCGTGTGCGGGAGACACATCCTAACGCGAGCAATTTCCCCTTCCAATTTTCGGTCTTAATTCGAGTCAACACCGCCCTTTTTCTTCATATCGAACATGCTGGATGATTGATTGGGTATGCCGTCTGTAAACGCGCCAGTCCTTTGCACCTGCAGATTCGATTTAGGCGGGAAATGGAAATCTAGATTTATGATGGTTCCCGCTAAAAATATGGTGGTCAGTACGAGAAGTGACGAGTACCTGATCTGTATCTTTGTGTGTCAGTTCATGCTGTATCATCAATAAAAAGGGGAAATCACTAACACTGGGTGTGTTAATTTCAGGAACTATAATACCCATACGCCTATAATTGCCCTCAAGTTTTCAAATCTTTCCCAAAATCAACTTTATATCATTTAGGGCTAAAGACAATTTCATGTAGTTGTGAAGAGAGTGCAGTGGTTCTATGGGTTTCGAATGGGTATATTCCACTTTACAAGAAAGAAAAGTTTTTGAAAACAGATACAATATACTACAGATTTAATGAAGAATTCCTCGATGATAAATGTTTAATTCTTGGATTTTTGACAAAGTCCATACCTATAACAGTGGACGTTTTATACCCGTATACGCCTTTATCCCATAATGAAGTTAAGAATGATTTATCTCAAGTCTACTCCCCTCAGACACCGTTTAAATTTTGTTGACAGTGCCTGCTGTGACCCCACTGTGACCCCTGTACCCAAACCCCCTCCCCTCCCCTCCCCTACCATCAATCATTCCATTAAGCTTAATCAGGACAGTGTCAGTCCCCCTTACAACATCCACTTTTAGAAGGGTGAAGTAGCTTGTACCACACTGCCCCCCGTCTGTCGACATTATTTTTGCCCTGAGCATGTACTTGACTCCGGCACACGAATTGCCGGGCACATTACCTTCTTCCGCGATGGGTGAGCCGGCTAATTGCCGAAGTGTCATAAGTGATTTACACCGGCAATATTGGCTGAGCGGTAAATTAGGTCTACTGATTAAATGATTGTCTGTTGTGCTGCGAAACCTCAAATAGTTGGGGCTCACACGAAATATAGAGTGTTTTTTATGTATTACCTTTTGCACTTCGACCACTGGATTGCATGAACTACCGCACAACGGGCGTAAGTGCCTTTGTTTTTCGTCGCCACGATATTTTTATGTATTTCGATGTGTATCATTTCCCCCTCTTGCTAATACAACTTTTTGTATGAAATGCCGTAATACTGTTTTTTTTAATTTCATTTCTGTCGTTGACTATATTCCATTTGGATGTTGTGGTATTACTTGTAGCCATATTGTGATACCATTTTTCGATTATGCCATTGTACCATTCGGTTATCAAACAACCTTGCTGTTTTATCATTTCATTATGTCAAATAATTTTTCGTTCCTTTTGCCACTTGTCTCGCAATGGTTTTCGATTTTGTGTGGGGGAAGGGGGGCCAACCAAGAGGTTATACTAGTTCAGAGTCAGTTAAATTTACGTTTTGAAACCAAGCCCACCTGGTGTACGAGTACAGCAGTATTCAGTGTAGGTTTAAAGTTCAAGACAATTTTTGAAAAGAACACAAAATCTCATAAGTCATCATCATATGATCACAAAGCCTTGAATTTTGACATGAAACATTGACATTCAAGTCGAGATGCGTGTTTACTTTTGTATCACGTTTGCATTTGGGTAGGATGTCTGGGCTTCGTCATAATAAGTAGTCGGTTCGTACCGTCCATTCTGCTACACCTGTTGGGCTCGTCCATACCGCTCAATATTCCAATTGCGGCAGCCCTTGGCCCCCTTGCCACTGCAACACATGTGATCCATCCCCGATATCGTCGGAGAAAATAGCGATATGGTTGTAATTACATCTGTCAAAACTTTGAAATTCCGCGGAGTAACGAGAGAACTGGGTGAGATGAGATTCCCGCGGATGGGTCCCGTGCCCTGCTCGTTTCCCCGGGGACCAGGAGCGGGGCGATTCCGGTCGAGTTTCCCCCACGACGGGGACAGTTCCTTGCGCACGGGGGACCGGCATCGCTTCCGTTGGAACCCGGAGTCGATAATTAAAATAGATGCGCGGCGTGATTGAACTTGAGATCTGACGGTCAATTCGGCATTATTTTACGGGGGAGGGAACACGTGGTTAACGTACAGGAATAAAACAAGGACAGGTGATCCGCTGAGGGTTTAAAACTAAAAGAGTACGGTTATTATACGTCATTGCAGCCATCTTTGATTCAGAAAGCTCCCTGAGAGATTTGTGTAGATAACCGTTATAAGTGGGTCATTGGGTACCAGTCTTCTGTGGATGTTTGCCTCATTATGATTCATGAAACGTGTGTGGAGTGGACATTGTCACCTCAGTATACTAGCGAAGAGCATGGTAATAGCTCTAAATGATAACTGATTGTGAGTGCTCCAGATTTGTTACAGATTTTGTGTGTCCGCGGAGTAGTTCTCTCAATACAGGGTGAGTTATAAAAAAAGAAGAAACCCAAATGTCGGGACTATTGTTTTAGTGAAGTTCTGCATGTAGCACTTTCAAAATGTGGGATATAAAAGCCCACTTCATAAACTCTGTTGTTGTACAAGAATCATTCAAATCACTCATGTACTTTTCAAGTTACGGAATTCTAAACACAACCACCGTTTTAAGGTTCTGTCTACGGATCACAAAAAAAGTTCAGTGTTCTTTCAGCAAAACGAAAACAAATCACAAATAGGGATGTGTGTGAATTGTTTTCGTTTTGCTGAAAGAACGCACACCTTTTTGTGATCCGTGGACAGAACTTTAAAACGGTGGTTGTTTTTAAAACTCCGTAACTTGAAAAGTACGTAAGTGATTTGAATGATTCTTGTACTAAAAGAAAGCTTATGAATTGGGCTTTCATATCCTAGATTTTAAAAGTGCTACATGAAGAACTTGACTAAAACAATAGTCCCAACATTTGGGTTTCGTTTTTTTTTTACTCACCTTGTACAACAAAGGAGGATTGTTGGAGAGCTGTCAATGATTAATTGAAAAGGCGTTAACAGTTTACATTAGAGCGTGCACGTGTGATTGTCAGCGTCTGTCACATATTCAGTGTCATGTCAAATATGAATTGAAATTCCGTGTGACAAAAAAATCCCCGATCATCTGGGAATTTATTGTATAGTTATCAGACCGTCCCACGACTGTTAACTGCCGTCTCCCCTGATGTATCCCATTGTCTTTTTATGGAAAATAATTGCAAAATGTAAGAATGACGAGCCAAAAGTTGTCAAGTTTAACAAGAGGTTTGATGTGGCTTCGATTCTCTGTTCTGTAAAGCTGTACAGAAAGTCAGAAACACCGGCCTTAATGTTGGGAGATGTTTGAGTCATAAGTTACTGTAATGGCATTGAACGTACCTTCTGTTGGTCAAGTACTTGCGTCAATGGTTAGATTTGACGTTTTACCCAGACTGTCTTTAAAGGGACGCTTTACTCACCGTATTGTGTTGCGTCTGCTAGCAGTGGTAGCGCCCTCATCGATCGCTGCCAGTAAGGTAGGTGACCTTTGACATGCCCTGGCCGCTGGTGACACCCCTCCATTATTCACCCGTTGATTTCAAGTCTTGGTTATTGATGGACCTAGAAATCGCAATTAAAGACGTAAAAAAAGGCGTTGAGTAAGGAATAAAGACAATCGTAGTTTCTTTTCATGTGTCTTGTGGACTGGTGGGCTAGCTGCTATTCAAAAGCTCCTCAGTATCGAGTACGTTATTTTTGGAGTATTTTTTTAGTTTTTCCATCCGGTCAGTTATTAGTCGAATCGTTGGTTGGATTTTAGTTGACAGACTCAGTCAACAAGTATAATCCTTTGCAAGACGGGAGGAACAACTTTCCATTTGCGAAGCCCTTTAAGTGGTGCGCTTCCTTTTGAAGAGGGGACACAGAAACGAGGCGTGAAATATCAGGTTATTATTTGTTCCGAGTTAGAAGGTCCACCTGACGCGTATGATGCGACACCCAGGGCTATACCCGAGACCAGGGAAACCGGCCCTGATTGCAAAAGGGGGAAGCATCCCGCGCTGCGCTCAGGCGTGCGAGGAGAGCAAGCATCTCGCATGGGTGACAGAAGCGCGCAATCCGGCCTGCCTGATCCGAAGCAACATCCCCTCCAGACAGTCCCTACGGGGTCCTATCTCACCCAAAGAGCCTGTTTAGGTTTTCATGTTCCTCATTAACACTCGGGCGTCGCTCTACGGGTCGATTGCTGCAACGCCGAGCCCGGCATTTTCTCTGATGTGATTGCAAGTGTCTTTGCGCATGACGGAAGAACGCGCAAACGCCTTCAACTTCTATCTTTGTGTCCCCGTGCGTCAGTAGGCGGTAGTACGCAAAATGCTATAGGTAAATGTAGCCGTTATAACCAACACTTGTGATGATGACCGTGAGGAAACAAAAGTATACCTAAAAAAAAAATCCAATAATAGTAGTGGCAATCTGTGTGGCAATCTGTAGCCTGGAGTTTGCAAGTAACATAAAGTTGTAGATTAATAGGTGCGAGATGGTTAATAGAGGAAGAAAGATTGAAGTCAGCTAGCAGACTCAATTTTAGATATCGCTGTATTTTCAAGATAGTTGTCGGATTTGGTATTAATGGTGTAGGCTATATTTATTTGTGAACAACATGCAGTTTATTCACTAGAGGCCTGATACTTTCAACAATTGCTCCACATCAGCCTCTTCATCGAATAGTTTCTTCTGGAAGTCAAATTGACAATCCTCACCCCCTCAAAAACAGAGACAATCTTGACGTGACTGGTCAGAACAACTATCCGTAAACAGTTCCTTTTCTTCTAATTTAAATTATTGCACAGCTGATCATTTAAATGCTTTATATGAAGCCTTTTCAATGGAACATCATCGACATTCAACGTGGATGGCGCATGCGCATACTGTAAACTGTTTTAAATGTAATTCAAAATTGTTACTTGTAAGGTCAATGAGCTCTGAAACAGGCTGCTCGAGGAAGGAGCACAATACGAATATAACAATAATCCATTTGGAAACTAACTTGCAAGAGTAGACCCAGAACACGTTTGCAAGCATAACTCTTTTCATTACTTGAAACTTGCAATACCACCCTTTAAGGCAGTTAATAAGAAACCTCCCCTCTTAATATGACACCTGTCCTTCTCTGTTGTCGATCTGTACCCCTACCAGACTATTTGTTACTCATCCTTTCTGCAATCTCGAATCATTTTTTCGATTAGCCCGCCTGACCTATGGAATCCAGGTTACGCTAAATCCCCCTCATCCCGTCTCCCTCACCTGTCCTAATACCTCTTGGTCCTCGAGTGCCGGAGCCCCGGCCCCGTAACGGATCATCTCGTGTTGTTTGAGGATAAACCCCTCTGTGATGACAGATATATCGGGAAGATTCATAGCTAGCATCGCGGGGGAGGAGAGGTGGATTTAGCGGCAGCCTCCTTAGGGGGGAAGGGGGATTCAAGAGGTGCAGTTCGGCAGTCGTAATTTCGTGGCTTTTTGGTCGGTGTTTTGTCTGGTGTGATGAGTTGGCACAGTCACCCGAAACTCACCCGCGTTTCGACCCTCGCTGCTCTCTGCCGTTCTCGCTGACATTTTCACTTGTAACTTGTATCATGTTGTTCTGCATGCATCATATGGTGATGTAGCGTTTGCCGTTATAATTAATGTAATTAGTTACATATCACCTCATGAATTTATAATCATGTTTTTTTTTCATACTGAATTGATATAAGAAAGCAGAACTGATATTTTTACGCGAACTCTTTACGTCGGTTAATACCATACAATGACGTGTTCTATGACAAAAGGTCTTAAGTCTGTGTTTTTCTTTTTTCGGTGTTTTTTTTTTCTATAATAATGAAATAAACCTTAATTTTGTAATGGTTAATAATTTGATATACAAATCACACACACCGTGGCCTTGTTACAACCGCTCAAACTTTGACCGTCCACCCAGACAAGCCGGTCACTTTCCAAATGTGGGTCATTGGGAAAGAGTATTGATTATGCCTGCATCATTGGACGGGCCAAACCATAACAGGTTGCTCGACGAGCTCACACCGTCCATGGTCCAAACTGTCTTGACTCCCCTTGCGCATGGAGGTAGAAGTCACCCAACCATCGAATCAGGACCCATTGTAAGACCGCTCAAGTCGCCATCTCCCACGGGTGTGTCGCTGTCAAATAGAAGGAGGTTAACACTGACCAACTCGCCGATATTAATTCCGAAGCCGGAGGTTAAAACTTCGCAGACTTTTCCGGTTAAACTCTCCGTGACTTTTTTTTGCGATGGGATTTGTTTCTTGTCATGTCACACTCTCGAATTCATCTCGAGAAGCCCTGAACGGTGACAGAAACACGTGTCCGGGGCGCTTGCAGAACCCAACTCGTCCGTGGAAGAAACTTTAATCAGAAAATGGGCGCTCGACCACTTTTTGGACACCCACGGAACACAAGGTTTTATGATGTCTGGCCCGTGACCTTTGCTTGACCTCAGGGGTCATTGTTATTACACAGGTCAGTCCTTAAACACGTAAAAGATGTGAGAAGAAAGTTGTGACAGTTGTCAGCTGCGCCAGGTAGCTACATGTACATCGACACCAGTAATAATCCAGTGTTGGAGGCCTAAGGGTGTACTTCAAGTGTGCTTCGAGGGTGTGGTAATTGTAGGGGATGCCGTACGGCGCTGTACCACAGCACGTAAAGTTAGTAGTGGGATGGAGTAGGTGTTCAGTAGCTCCCAAAGTTCTGTCCAGACCCACAAATGTGTGGAAATTTTTTTATCCATTTTTTTTTATCGTGGATGTGACTTACACTAAGTGTACTTCACATCTTATCTCGGATATTTTAAGTCTTCCCCGCCTCCGAAAATGGAATACCTTCTATATATCATTATAGGAAAAACATCACTGCCATTTATGCAGCGAGGTGTCGGGGTTTGAACAAACACTCAAAAGCCTTAACTTAAGTTTATATTTTGGTTTCCTGCATGTGAATTTCGCCTTTATGTTGTGAATCTTAGTTTCCCCGGATTTGATATTTATATCGACTTTATTAGTAGCATTTTCAGTTTACGAAGTGATATTGGACAAGTTATGTTTAAAGTATTGTACTGGTGGAACCTGTAGCAAAGTAAAACTAAAAGGGAAAGGTGCATTTCGAAATTTGAAAACGGCATTGTTGAAGCTTTTTGAGTAATTTTTCCTGTTAATGGTAAATGGCTTAGTAGTATCCTTCCAAGGCACGACGATAACACTATTATGTCACAACCAAATCAGAATTTCGCAACTCTTCCCGAAGTTCTAATAATATCCACAGGTGACACGGAGTCCCGCCCCCCCCCCCCCCTCGACTACCGTCAAAACACCGGGCCAACCTTGGCGCGTTGCAGCGCGGCACGCACGCTGCAGTGCTCCGGGCTACCCGCCGGGTTAGAGGAAGTGTCTCGCAGCCGTCCAAGGACTTCAAAACACCGGTGCTCCCTGGGCCCAAGGCCTGGTGCTTTAAAATCGGCGTTTAGTTAAACGGTGTTGATTTAAGAAATATCAGTAATTATTGTTGCATTCTCAACGATAGTTTACAGTACGTAAACAAAATGAACACGAGTAGAAGATTTAGTCTTCCAATGATCTGCAAACCAGCAACCAGAATTATTCTCATATTGCTAAGAAATTCGGCTCACTACAAGAATGTGCATTTTTAAAAACTTTTTTACATTTGATATTACATGCTCAAATTTGTAAGGCTCACGAATACGTATGTACATTCTCCCTGAAATCATATTAATAAATTTTAACTTAAATTAGTCCGGCTAAAAAGCTTTTTTGGACCTGACAAGTTTACCAAGATGGTAACGATAGTCGAACTGATGAGGAAAGCACTTTGTGAGCAAAGCGAGACAACACTTTTTCGAGTTCCAGTCTGTTCCTGGTGCGAGTGTGCATACAAATCAGTCCAGCAATTTTGCAAAATTGCAACTTACGATACAGAAGCACAACTCCAGACTTTGTTTTGGCAATTACTTGGAAACCAGAACCCTTCTTATAATAATCAACCTTATTATAAACAGTAGGCTAAAATAAACTCAAACCCCGGGGCTACGAACAACAGGAATAGGACTCCGGGTAGTCTTAGCGGGAAGCACCTGTCCCCCATCGGGTGGTTTACGGCGCACTCTCCCCTCGGGCTACGCTCCCTCCCTCGGGATTCTTAATTGTAGGCCGCCAAAACAACACTTACAGAAAGTGAGATGAACCGTTACTGTTAATTCTCATGAAAACAAATATATAAAACACGTGACCTGCAATCAGTCAAATTTGTGGCGATTAATTAAGACCGGTTTGGGTTGTGTAATTAACAGACGCAAAGGTGACTTGATCCCTTGGGTCAGTGAGCCCGCGGGCGGTTGACAAACTTTCATGGTTCATTTTTGAACCCCAGTGGGCGGCGCCCTAATCACCGCCAATACACCTGAACACAAACAACCTAAAACGAAAGTGAAAGTTAACGCTGAATATATTGATTTTCAGGCACACAACACGTGAATCGAAAGAGAATAATGAATTCCATATATTGACCAAAAATGC